CCCTCACTCCCTCTCTAAAGTCAATAAAAACATTTTTTTAAAAAAACATATGGAAGAAGAGGCAGTGATTGTTAGGCAACCGGCTTCGTTTCCCCTGTAAAGTGGGTATGTTTTCCCTGATCCTCTAGGGGGAGAAAAAAGGAAGGAAGAGATAAGACAGACAGGAGAGGTTCTGTTCCTCTATAACAGCGGTTCTCAACCTGTGGGTCGTGACCCCTTGGGGGGTCGAACCACCCTTTCACAGGGGTCGCCTAAGACCATCGGAAATACACATATATAATTACATATTGTTTTTGTGATTAATCACTATGCTTTAATTATGTTCAATTTGTAACAATGAAATTGGGGGTCACCACAACATGAGGAACTGTATTAAAGGGTCGCGGCATTAGGAAGGTTGAGAACCACTGAGCAAACACCTACACTGAACCCATTTCATGGTATGACCTAAACAAGCCCCAACACTAGTGTGTCAGCACCAGAGCTGTTTTTCAATCACAGAATCGCTAAAATTGATTTCTATTCTATACTGTATTAGGCATGTTAAGCTCTTGTTTGTCATCTCAGTTTACTTGCATGTAGATTTAAATTAAATTCTCACTGAACTTTTCCATGTAAGGTAGGTCCTCGGGTTACATCGGAGATACGATCCTACGGGGCGACATAACGCGATTTTCGCCGTAAGTCAGAACCCGCCTACGTAAGCACCTACATCACTCACATGGAGCACATACACAGCGGTAATGAGTGAAACAGTAAAAGAAAAAGATAACAATCCCTGACCTTTACTTGTGGTAAATAAGTAAAAAACAAAGCACACATGTACATACGTCGAAATGAAGGGATTTTTTTTGTTGTTGTTATAAATAAATGGGAGATGGCGACGTAAGCACCGAAACGACGTATGTCGAGTCCAACGTAACCCAACGGACTGCCTGTAATGGCTATCAAAACTTTGCTCAAGAGATTGATAACTCATTCTTTCCTACCTAAACAATTCAAAAGACTAGGGAATGTGGTCTTTAGACATAGTAATAAGAAATATGAAAGCTGTTTCTGCTGAAATATTTGTTTTATTTGAAAAGTAACTGAAAATAATAAGTATGCAATCCCTTGCTTAATACACTAAAGAATATTTAAAAGAAAGGAACTTATTATTCATGAAGTCCAATTAATAAAAATAATAAAAACTGATATTTTTCAATTAAATTCAATAATTACTAAGTACATGAACTGTGCCTTAAAAGTTCTGTAATGTCTCTCAAAATCCTAAAAACTAGGAATGAGTAGTGTGTTTTTTTTAATATACACAAAAAGCTACAATAAAAGTAGAAAGCAGAACAGGCGGCCAGAGGAGAAATCATGTCCGTTGCCTACAAAGCCAGCTCTGGCAGTCCAAGTGTGCTTTACACATGTTATTGAAAAATTGGCAACTCTTATATACTGTATATGGCAACTTATAAACCAGGAATACACATTGCATATATAGAAGCAGATGTAGTGTGGTTCCTAATGGTCTATATGTCTCAAAATCATGTCATTTATAGGATCTATACCAGAATTAATAGTTTTTCTCCCTGACTTTCAAAATGTTTTCATAGCTTCATGCTTCTTGCTTGGTCTCTACGATATTTCTCTACCATAATAAACATTACATCACATTCCTAAATGGGAAAGAATGAGATATTCATCTGAAAATATTTCTATTTCACATCATTAACAAAAGTTAAATCTGGATTATTAAGAACAAAAATTTGTAAGAGTACTAAAAAATATATGAGGCAATGTTTAACAGACTAGAGAGGACCTTCCTACAAAGCCGCAGATTCTAGAAATACTAAAGCAAATGACTAAAGACGTGAATCACTGCTATACATGATATGTGCATGCAGGGCCACCACTTTAAGTCCCATCAATTGTATGGTGTGTTGCCTATGGTGGCAAAGGAGTGATTCCCTTTTGTCTATGGCAAGAAGAAAGTAGTGGTCAATGTCTCATACCCTCTTAGGTAAGAAGTTAAAATTTCAAAACCAAGATAAGCTGGTAAATGCCCCATCTCTCCATACAATGATGGGCCATTTCCATGACAGATTTTATTAAGCATTAGCTGTATCTTACAAAAAAACAGTGAAAGCAATGCTATTTCCTAAACTATATTATTCATAAGACTGGATAAAAATATATACCACAAACTCAGACTTCCTACCTTTTCTGTGACAACTGCTTTGTTATAATCATTGCCAGAGTAGTGAGGTGGTAAGGCCTAATGCCCCTCTTGACTACAGCTTCCATTGAGAGAGCATGTTAGAGGAACTATCTGAATGTTTCTTTCATGTAAAAAAATTAAAGATTGTTATAACTGAAGCTTTACAAAAGACTGTGATTCTATAAATTGCATATAAAGGCAATATTTGTTATTGAATGTGCCCCGATACACTGACTAATTCCTACAAATAATTGCAGGCAATCTCCTACAGACATTGAATTTTAAGTGTTTAAAAACCAATTTTCATTAACCAGCACTAATACAAGATTAAATAGGTTTTACCCTGAGATTTTCTTGAGTTAAATCACTTCCATGTACACAGTTGCCAAATCCCTACCTGTGTCCAGAGGCTGTGCACTGTTAGTATGCAGTGGCTCAGCGACTGCATGCTTTGTTTTGCCTTGACCAGGAAGAACCTCAGAGGTACCAGGAAGCTGACCTTGGTAAAAACTGCCTGTTTCATCAATAGTTCTTCATTCTTTAAATATATTTGCAATTGTTCTACCATTTTTAATTGATTTACCGTAACTGCTTTGCAAAACTTTGGACAGTTACTCAGATAATAATCAGAGCCCCCTCATAATATTAAGGCAATGCAAAAACTCTAAAGGGCAAGACTCAAGAGCATCCTGGACCCGCATATTCAACACCATCAAAAAATACCTACATATTAAGTTCAGTCACCCTCAACATTGTTCCTGTGTTATCTGACTGAGAAAAGCAAACAAAAGGATGTTTAAATTTAAGACTGCTTGTTTGAAAGCCAACAAGCTATATGCTGTTCCTTTATCAAAAGAAACAGAACAAGACCTTGTCCCTTGCTTTGTGGGAGAGGCAGGCTTTTAGGGGTAACAAGTTTACAAATACAGTTAGCAATGACATTCCTCACCCAGTAATCCAAGGCTACGAAAAACAAATAAAGTTAAAATTAGCTTATTATAAGATTTCAGCTAGAATCATTCTTTTTTTTTTTTCACATTTCTGGTAGCTAGTGCTTTAACACTTTTTCAAAACAATAGCAACATTTTTTTTAAATAAGGAGAAAAAACATATTTCCTTTACTTCCCATGACACATTTTCTTTAATCAATGCAGGTCAAAATAAATTCAGAATTTTCTGAAAATACTGACTGGAAGGAACCTCCCACAATGCTCCCACGAGGTCTCAGTTCCGCCTGTCGTCTGGGTTCCGCTTCATCTTCTTGACACATCAAAGATGGACAATGTCCCAGGTCCTAGCATGCTGAGTTTCAGATGATGGCCTGGCACAGTGTGCTCTTGGAGACCAGCCAAGCGTTCACATGCTTCCACAAACAAACCTCACTTACCATAAGCTTCCCTGGTAGAATTCCAACTCACCTTCACATGATTTTAGTGGCTCTGCTAAAGAGACTCTAAATTGAGACTAAGAGAGCATGGACAAGATAGTCCATGTCTTAAAGTTAAAAAAAAAAAAAAGAAATTGGCAATAAACCATCCTCTGAAAGAAGGATCCTGGCAGCTTTAGAATCATGAATGATAACTTCAGCCTTCTTTTTCTTTCCCCAGAACCAAGGCCAGTTCACTGATTTATGACAGTAAGAGAGATGGTTTTGTAATGCCTACTGTGTGCCAAGGAATATGTTAGGTTCTTGTTGCAAAGTTATGTAAGCCAAACTGGAATTCACTATGATCAGGCATTTGCAGGTAAACATTGCAGGTCTCCGAAGATTCTAAATAGGTGAGGGCTTTCTGGTGCCTACAAAAACATTGATGAGCAGGAAGATGAAAAAACAAACCCACAGCTCTATCATGTAAGCTCAGTAAAGTCCCAGATGTCT